CATGTATTAAGAAGGGAATCACCAAGACATTGGGGTTTCTGATTAATGTGTCAATCAGGGTAGTAAGACATTACATCTTGATGATAAGAAAAAGGTTGATCAACATCACATAGTAGATAATTCATTATGGAAATTGGTTCATCCATAAATTCATGCTTGAGAGAAATTGACATCTGACTACTTGTTTAAATTATAATCACATTTTATTTGCTTATCAAGTTTTTATGCAATTCAACTACATTTCTGGTGACAAGAAATCAATGCAATTAATAATCTTTTGGTTGATTCAGCTTAAGCATATATGGTTAATCGGTGCTTGAACACAAATTCTCGTTGGAACGATCTTTACTCATCATTTTATTACTTGTGTGACTAGTACACTTGCTAAATACACAACATATATTATTCTATGAATATATACATACTATTTATAATTTTTCGGGATACTTCATCGGTACGCATTTATACCATGAAGTAGAACCGGTATCTTCACTTTAGTCAGAAAAGCAACTTTCAGCATTATTAATCACTTACAATTATTATTTAAGCATTCTCATAATTATTCAAGGTCAATTATGGAATTTATCTCTTAACTCATAATTAAGTTAATTAAATTCCTAATTTAATGGTGCAGGTTCTTACACTTTGACTTTAAGGAAAATGAGATATTTATTTAAAGTATCTTAAAGCTTAAATACAAAACCATTTATTCCTCTTCTTCATCCTCTCTTTTCCCTGGAACCCGAGACCTCCATAGACAATGGCTTGGATTTCTAACTTCTCATATAATCTTTGATTCAAGAAAGTGTGAACTTGAAAGTTGTTGAGAATCACTAGATAAACAAAACCTAAAATTCAAATATTTTTGAAAGTGAGTGTTGGAAGAGAAAATCCCTCTTGAAATGGGAGAGTTCTTGAGTGGAAGAGCAAAGGAGTTTTGTTTGATCTCATCCAAGGATTGGAGGATACTCCTAAAGGCTTTGTGAAGCTATTTGAGGTAAGAAAATCCATTTTCCTCTAAGTTTTCATAATGAGTAATATTTGGTTGTCATTTTGAATATTTTCATAGATGATGGTGCTAGGATGATTTTTAGCCTTAGTTTATGTTGGAAAGTATGCTAAGGAAGGAAAATAAATGGTAGAAATAAAGTTAAATCACCATTTGCACAATGTCCCTCATTTTTTAAAATTACACAATAGAAAAATGTAATTTCTTGCAATGTAAGTAATACTCCATGTGTTGATGATGATGCTTGTGTTCCTTTGATTTCTAGGAGTGAATCAAGTGGTGAATTGATGAGCAAGCGATCATTGGATCAACCTATGGAATTATGACTTGAAACTTGAATTATTTCAAGTGTAGGTGAGTTATTGATAAATGGGTTGGAAATGTGTTGAGGTGTGATATGTATCATTATTTTACAATTGAATTATATTGAACATTGATTATATGTTCACCTTGTAAATAGGTGATTGATATAGGATAGCTATCTTTTGAGGTATATTCTAGCATATAATCAAGAGAGTGGAATTGACATGTGCTTGGAGCAAGTTTGATAGCAAAGCTACTGCAGGTAAGCTTTCAGACTGTGAGATTTATCCCGTGCTTGTTCCATCGTACCTTGAAGGGGTAGTGGTTTATGTGGTATATGTAATTGCATAGATTTAATATGATGCATTGGATATATATATATATATATGTGTGTGTGTGTGTGTGTGTATGCTATGTGTTTACACTTGGTATGTATCAAGGATGTTTCCTTGTGTAATTCATATAGTGTATGTTCTCTGGCCAGTAGGATTTATTATTACTGCGACATGAGCATTCCTGAGAAGGAGTGTTGACCTGCGAGATGTCTTGGATGAGCATTATTTGCATAGCATGGATATGTATATGTGGTATCATATGATTTATTACTTTTATGCTGAAGTAAACTTGAGAGTGGAGGAATATTCAAGTACCCCTAGTTTACTGAGATATATATTACATGCTTATGGGATTTATTTTGATGTATGGATTTGTGTCTCACATTATGTTTTATATTTGAGAGCATAGGAGATGGCTATGTCTCTTTTGATTATGCCTATGTATATATGTTAAAGACATATATATAGGTTGTTAACTTGTATTTTTCCAAATGATATATGATGTATATGTATTCATTTGGAGGACTTGTACATGGATTTACATGTGTACATGTACATGACATGTAATTTGACTCGATGTTATTTCTATTTGTTATAACTTGAAATATATGTTAATGGATGTAAGTGCACCTAGGTTTGTTGGGCCTTTGGTTGTCGTTCCATGTCTATCAGCACGAGGGTATTTGCATGGTTTTGAATGTTGTGAAAATAAGGCATTTTAGCTTCTGTCCAGTGAGTATTCGAATACTTTTCAGGCAGTAGCCAAAAATCAGCCACTGTCTTGAAAGTATTCGAATACTTGAGGAAGTATTCAAATACTTTTCGGGCAATGTTCGAATATTTTTCGAGAAGTATTTGAATACTTCCCTGGGCAGTGGTGTTGTCTGCTTTGTTTGAATTGGAAGTTGAGTTTTAGTGCCATGTTGTTTATGGGGATTTCATGGTAGAGTCTTAAGAGACTTGTATGATATGTTTAAGCTAGATTTTCCATTCCGTTTTGTGTATGGTTATAATTATAGTTTTGAGTTTAATTTTTATACAGTATGAATTTAAAAACGAAATGGAAAATGTTTAAAAAGGAAAAATTTTAGCCGTACTTTAAATTAACTACTGTGATTGTAGCTGTGCTTAATATCATATGTGATGTTAACATATCAGTTTGGTAATGGGGTGTTACAAAACCCGCTAAGGTAGGAGGGTTGTGACGGTAAAGAGTGGCTCCTAGCAGGCTTCTAGTGGGAAGGGTACATGAATGAATCGAATCAACACCCGAATGAGAGGGGTCCATTGACTGTGCAGGTATGAGATTGTACAGTTGAGGATAACTTAAAGGAATTAATTGATATTACCTATACTAACAAGATACATATAATTTTTGGTAGCCCATAACTTAAGAACTCTATAGTTAAGCGTGCTTGACTTGGAGCAATTCTGCGATAGATGACCTCTTAGAAAGTTTCTCAGGAAGTGTGTGAGTTTGGATAAAGCACACTGAAAAATCTAGTGTTGGTTTGTGGGGATAGTAATTGATCTTGCAAGTGGCTATGCATTACACTCACTTGACATGTTTTTTGGTCAAGTCCTTCACTTATTTTATAAATCAAACACATCAGAACACAATTTTTGTTGTTGTTATGTTGTCCCTTAAATTTTTCAACATAACACACTAACACTATCCAAACACAAATACGAATTTTTGTTTTTATGTCAATCTATATTTGTGTTCATGTCAACTAAAAATTGACATGAAAAAAATTGTATCATTTTCGGGTTATGAGTATTTATGTTCGTGTTGTATTTATGTTGATATGCCATTGACCTCTTGGGAAGTTTCTCAGGAAGTGTGTGAATTCAGACAAAGCACACTGAAAATCTAGTGTTGGTTTGTAGAGATAATAATTGATCCTGCAAGTTGGTGGACATTGCACTATCCCTTGACATGTTTTTCGGTCAAGTCCTTCACTTATTTTATAAATCAAACACATCAGAACATAATACACTAACACTATCCAAACACAAATAAGAATTTTTGTTTTCATATCAATCTATAATTGTGTTCAAGTCAACTAAAAATTGACATGAAAAAAATTGTATCATTTTCGGGTTATGAGTATTTGTTATGTTTATGTTGATATGCCATTGACCAATTTAAATCAAATAATTATATAATTCACATATTTATCCACTCACATCCACTTTTTATTTAGAGTAAAACCCTTTTTGGGTCCCTAATAAAATACGGTCTCCACTTTCGTCCCTTATAAAAAAAATACTATATTAGTCCTTTTTTAGGGACTAAATTGAGTTTTCATTGAATTTTTAAGGAACCACATTTTCAAAGAACTGAAATTGTAGAGGAACAAAAAATTGACTTTTTTTTGTAAGGGACAAAAGTGGAGACTACATTTTTTTGTTAGGGACCCAAAAGAGACTTTATTTTTTATTTATTTATTAATTTTAAATTATTTATAAAATTGTTAAGTTATACTATCATGTCGTGTTAAACACATAATAAATGAGTCATGTTAGTATTGATAACTTTAACACTATTAATTATTTGTATTGTTTTAGGCTACGAGTATTTATAAATTCTAGTCAACTCAACTAATAATATATCAAGAGTAAATACCGTTTTGGGTACTCAACAAAAAACACGGAACCTATTTTAATTCCTTAGAAAAAAAAGTCAACTTGTGGTCCTATGAAATTTCAGTTATTTGAAATTGTGGTCTCTCAGAATTCAAAGAAAACCCACATTAGTCCCTAAAAAATGAATAATATAGATACTTTTTTTTTGTATGAGATTAAAATGAGTTCCGTGTTTTTTGTTGAGGACAAAAATGATATTTACTCTTATATCAAACTTAAGTTCCAGTGAATTTTTAACAAATACTTGGATTTTTTCTTGAGTAAAAATATTCCCTAATAGGAGGGATTTAATAAAATCTACATTCTTTAATCTTTCCTTAAAAATTAACTGATTATAATATGTTTAAAATCTCTGATTTGATTTGGAAGATATTTTTCCGATTTGGGTTTTATACTGTTTTTTAAAATTTCCCTATATGTGTATATTTCCATATATAAGAGATAAATCTAGATACGTTTAACTCTTTTGGATATTTTGTATTATTTTTCCTAATTTCAATTTTATACTTTTTGAGAATTGCCGTATAAGTAGATATTTCAAAATACAAGATATATACCTATACAAGCAATTCTTTCTTTAATTTTTTAATTTAACTTTCCTTAGAAATGTTATGTAATCAAATATATAAGTATTAGTTCCCAATAGAATACCTCACTCAACCAGGAAGCATCATCATTATTTTCTATCCACCCATTGAATCACCATGTCTGAAGAGAAGCACCACCACTTCTTTCACCACTCTGAAGATGAAGAAAAGCCAGCTGAAAACATTGACTACAAAGAGAAAGAGAAACACCACAAGCATTTGGAGCATCTTGGTGAGCTTGGAGCTGCAGCTGCTGGTGCCTACGCTTTGGTAATTTAAATTTAGTATTTAAGGTTTAAATTGTGGTTTGCAATCATAATGGTGGTTGTCATATTTCCATTTGTTCGAAATCATAGTATGGCACTGCTTATCATAACGGTTACTCCCCTTAATTTTCAATCAGTTATTATTATTATACACTATTTTAGAGTCTGATTTCAATTATGATCAAATTAAAATTATTATCTACTAAGCCCTTAAAAGTATATTAGTAATAAGATTTTTGGATAATGTGGTATCAGTTTCATCGAACTTCTGTGTCTTTTTATAAAACCAAATAAAAGTTTCCTAAATGCAATATTTTTATTTCTTTTTTTTTTTTATAATTTTTTGTGTGCTAAATTTTACTTTAAATCTCTAAAGTATTAAGTCTTTAGATAACTTTATTAGATCATGATCTGTTATTACATATTTACAGTGGTATTTAAAAACTAATTTTTTTAATTATCATACAACATGATATTTTTAATTAATATTTGTGTAGCATGAGAAGCATGAGGCCAAGAAAGACCCAGAGCATGCGCACCACCACAAGATAGCAGAGGAGATTGCAGCGGCAGCCGCGGTAGGAGCCGGTGGATTTGCCTTTCATGAGCATCATGAGAAGAAAGAAGCGAAGAAACAAGAAGAGGAAGCTCATGGAAAGAAGCATCATTTCTTGGGTTGAAGCAAAATGTATTCAATTTCCAATAGCAATTGATCCATCTTATGTTTGGCGCTAATTAAATAAAGCATTAAAGCTGCCATGAATAAACTATTGGAAATCATATATTTGACCGATATTATTTCTATGTGTTTTTGCGTTATAAGCAATATTGTTAAAATCTAGATTTTAACTAAAATTGAAAGGAGATTAAAAAATTGTAAAACATAAAATCGAAATGTAAGAAAATCGTAAAAAAAATAAAAGCGTTTGGAATATTAGTAAAATCGTTTTGATGAATTTTTTGTTGTTGTAAAAACGTAAAATCGTAATGATAAATCGAGATTTTAACAACTATGGTTCTAAGTACCTAGTTTCTATAAGATTTTTGTTATAAGACTAATTAATTAAGTTTCTATATATTATATAGGGAAAAAATGTGTATCATTTCAAAAGACACAAAATTGTGTCATTTTGAGTGAGAGAGAGATAAATCATGGAAGAGAGAGTGAAGAAAAAAGTTTTAAAAATGTAGGTCTCACCTCTTTGTGAGAGTGAAAAGATGTAAAGTGTGTCATTTAAAATGACACACCTTTTTCCCATTATATAATCTATTGAAACAATCATATGCAAGGTATCCAATTTCATTTGTTACCTTAATTTGTTGAGCATCTAATTGCCTTATCCTAAGCTAAGATCGTAGCGTGGGGTACTTTGTTTTGCAAACTCTACTCATGTGTCTTAAGAAAAATTTAAATACAAAGGTACGAATCATTATACATACTAAGGGAATAAACAACATTGGAAAGTTTGATGATGTGTCACTCTCTTCTTCAATTTCACCAATATGTTCACACTTGAGAAATGTTTGAAAAGTTTCTTCTTTTGGTAATTTTTTTTAATCGAAAATTAATATTAAATCAAAAATTAATATTAATTAGTGAAAAAAAGGGATCTTTATTTTTGTGGGGTCAAGTTGGATTAAAGTTCCACTACTTTATGTATGGGTAATTGTTATGTGCATTTAATGTTTAAATGTAAATTTAAATGATAGTACGCTGCACGATAAAAGAAGTTCAGAGACTTTTCAAGTCCATTTTGGAAGGTGTGTATATATATCATGTGTTGCTTGGTTCTTTCCTTTGGTCATCGCCTTTTGTGATTCTTCCCCTCCTCATCCTCTGGTCAATGACTCTCTCTGTTCTCTATCTGTCGCTCTGCAACAATTGACAGCAACACTAACACTGCTTCATCCATCATCGACCAATCATTTCATTTTCCCTGCATAATCGATCAAACTCAACACTGATTCTCCTTAACTTTCTCGAAACAACATAATTTTTTATCCAAAAAAAAAGCACACAAGATGGCTAGATGTTTCAGCTTCACTGCTTCGCGTGACAGGTGCTTCCGCTACTCCTTCTCGAACGCGAGTCTTAAATCCACCACCACAGATCTCGACGATGGCACCATTATGCATTGCTGGGTTCCCAAGACCCACAACGATTCCAAGTCTTCCCTCTTTCTCATCCACGGTTTCGGAGCCAACTCAATGTGGCAGTGGAGCGAGTTCATTTCCCCACTCCATTTTGGAAGGTGTGTATATATCATATGTGTTGCTTGGTTCTTTCCTTTGGTCATCGTCTTTTGTGATTCTTCCCCTCCCCGTCCTGTTCTTATGTGTTATCTATTGCATCTTCATCTTCTCAACCTTTTTTGGTGTCAGATATGTACTCCAGGTATGATTTCATTAAGGATCTTAATTCTTCGAAGGAGGAGTGGAGGATTAAGGTGAGGGTGGTTAGGACTTGGAAGGTTCCTAATTTTCAGCATAAATATTTTGACACAATCTGGACATGGATCTATTAGATGAGAAGGTAATACTTTGCGTTCTGTTAGTTTCTTTTTACTTTTTTTTGTTTTTTTTTTCGTTTCATTTTTTTACGGCCCTGATGTGAAGGTATCTAATGTATTTGTTTTGTAGGGTAGAAGGATACATGCTACCGTCAAAGGATCTCTGAATGCCCATAAAAAAAATTTGTGAAGGGGATGTCTATTTTATAAGAAATTTTGGAGTTGGGTTGAATAATGATAATTTTAGGTCAACTAGACATGATTATCGTTTGTCTTTCAACTTGAGGACCGATGTTAAATTGATTGTGGATGCTACTATTCCTACTAATGGATTTAGTTTTGTTGATTTTGACGTTATAGAGAGAGAATCAGCTGACTCTCCTTATTTAGTGGGTAATGTTTTTGTCTCTGAGTTTACTGGCATATTTTATGTGTTGATGTCGTTGATAAATGGTCAACTTCTTTTTCTATAGACATCATCGGTTTGCTGTCAGGTGTTGGGGACGTTCGTGAGAATGTTGTATCCGGTAGAAAAATCATGTTTATCAACTTATTTTTCTGAATGTCCGTTAATTACACTCTTACATTCATTGGGAAAGTTTAATCTCTTTCTTCCAAATTTTCTAAAAATAGGGGGTCACAAGCTTGAATGTACTTTGTGGGAGCAGCATGTGGATAAAGAGCAGTCTTTCTTGGCAAAGAATGAGTCTCCTCAAAATGTTGTAATTGTCCAGCTTGCAAGGATTAAGGGTTTCAGGGGTCACAAGCTTGAGTCACTTTATGGGAACAATATGTGGATGAAGAGCGAATGTTTTTGGCAAACAATCAGTCTTCTCAGAACATCATAATAGTCCAGCTTGCGAGGATAAAGGGTTTAAAAGTTTTTTTTTAATATTTGTTAATTATTTTTAATTCTTTTATACTCTAATTGTCTCTCTATATCTCCCACTTTTACGTGTTCTTGAAAATCGGAATAACAAATACAAAAAATATGACAAGGATTATCTTGGATTTAAATGTACCAGAGGTTGTAGTCTTCGAAAAAGGGTATCAAGCGAGATCGAAATCGAACTTGATATTTTGTTGTTTAGTATTACTTATATTCAAGATTTTTCTTCTTCAATTTTCTTATGTATCCTACACTATAATCCCACTTCCAAGAATGAGACAATCTTATTTTAATTAATTTGACTTTTTGGTAAGAACATCTCTTTTTTGTTATTTATACCCTATCAATTCTTCAACTATTCCCTATCAATGTCTATTGGGCTTAATTTTAAGAAACATAAATAATTTAGATTGTTGAAAAAAACCACAAATCTTTGAAACAAATAATTATTTATTATTATTAATAACTCCACTAAAATGAATGACCATTCAGTAACTAATGATCATCCAACTTCTGCATTGTAAAAGGATGTTTGGCATTAAGTATTTTATAGACTATTACTTGGAGAATGTGCGCAACATTCTATGCATGTTTTCAACTATTTTATGTATGAGAAATTGTTAAGCCTATTAATAACATTTATTATTATGTCTATTGGGTGAAAAATATATTTTATATTTAAAATATAAACTTTTTAAATTTGAATTTTGAACTTGATATGTGGGATAAGATTCATCCTTTAATATCGTCCACTACTTTCTGCATGAAAAATTGTTAAGCATAGTAATAAGAATTATTATTATGTTTATTGGGCGTAATTATTATACTTATTAGGATTAACTATAAAACTAGAAAAAGATATATATAATAAATTTAATTTTAATATAAATTTATTGATTAAAGGAAAAAAAAGTTTAAAATTATAAAAGGGCTTATCATTTCTCAAGCTGTTTGAGATAATTTTATCTCCGGCTACTAAATCATAACCATACAAAGATGGATCAATGGTGATAAAGGAAGAGAGAGAAAAAAGGAATCATATTTATACTTTAAAATAAAATAAATTTGAAATTAAATTGAAAAAATAGGAAATGACATATTTATACTTTAAAATAAAATAAATTAAAAACTTAACTTAAAAAAATAATAAAAAAAGATAATAAATTTCCGTACAAGTATTTTTAAGAAAATATTAAATATAAACGTTCTAAATAATTACGCAGAATCAATTTAAAAGTTATATATATATATATATATATATATATATATATATCTATATATATAAATATTATAAAATATAACTTAATAGAGAAAAAATTATTTTTTAAAAAATATGTACAATTAATACAAAAGAATTAAAATTTTAAATTATAAAATTAGATAAAAAATTTAAAATGACAAAGATCATTATGTAAAAAAAATTGAAAAAATTAAACACTATAAAAATGTAAATTTTAATTTAATATATTAGAAAGAGATTAAACTTTCATTCTTTTGATGTAAGAGTGTAATTAACAAAATTTTCTATGTCGTAAATGAATACCTAGAATTTATTACTTGGAGAATGTGCACATACTTTTTGACATGTTTTCCACTACTTTCTGCATAAACAATTGCTAAGTCTGCTAATAACATTTATTATTATGTCTTTTGGGAGGGAAAATATCTAGTATTTAAAATTTAAACATTTTAAATTTGAATTTTCAACTTGATAGTGGGAAAAGATTCTACCCACTACTTTCTGCATGGAAAATTGTTGAGCATATTAAGAAGAATTATTATTATGTCTGTTGAGCTTAATTATTATACCTATTAGGATTAATTATAAAACTAGAAAAAAGATATATATAATAAATTTAATTTTAATATAAAATCAAAAAATATTTAAAATAATAAAATTATATGTATAGCTGATAAAAAATAATTTAAATTTGAAATTTATTTGAAAAAATAAGAAATGACATATTTATATTTTAAAATAAAATAATTTAAGAACTTAACTTAAAAAAATAATACAAAAAGATAAAAAATTTGCGTACAAGTATTTTTAAGAAAATATTTAATATAAACGTTTTAAATATATATGTAGAACCAATTTAAAATATATATATATATATATAAATTATAAATTAAAAGAGAAAAAAATTATTTCTTAAAAAATTTGTATAATTAATACAAAAGAATTTAAATTTTAAATTTAAATAAAAAAGTTAAAAATGACATCTATCATTCTGTAAAAAATAAATTATAAAAATTTAATCTTTATAAAATTGTAAATTTT